ATATATCCGTGCGGGAATGGCTGGGTTAGTGTACTGCTTGAACATCTCAGCCGAGCCAGAGTACGAATGGAGGCATATGCGCGGCGGGAAAGGCTTCGGCGGCACGAGCTTCCTGCCGTAGTCATCTTCATCAAGCTCATCCTCAGAATAGGGGTCCTCGGCTCCCTCGGCGACCATCTTCTTCTGGCGCCTGGTGATAACCTCCTTCTCGTGACCCTTCCAAAGGGATGCAAGGGTATCGTGGAGTACACCATGGGCCTGGACGCCATGGACACTCACGGGTCGGCCTAGCTCGCCCGCGAGCGCCAGCTGAGCTTTCAGCACGGCAATCTGGTGGGGCATCTTGACACGTTGAGGAGCCAAACGACGCCCCTCGCGACCACCCGGGGTCAGGGTCTGGTCACGGGAGGACTGGTCGACGTTGGTGGTTCCTTCAGGCAGGCGGAAGGCCTTGTCAAGACCTACCTCACCGACTAGAGCAAGGGGATGATCTTGCAGACGAGCGCGAGTCTCTGCTAAAAAGGTTGACAATGAACGCGGGGCGGGCAGGGCGTCAATAAAGCTGGGGTCCTCAGGGGCGGGTGCTAGGACGGCCTGGTAGTGGCGCTTCTTTGCGTCGGGCTGGCCCTCGTGGTACGTCCTCTCAGCCACGGGCACGGTGTCGTCGAACAGCTGGTAGGAGAACCAGGGATGCCAACCAAAGGAGGGGATCAGATGGCCTTGAGACATTTCGTCCCTTGAGCGCACACCGTGGGATGAGGCTACCTCAGCGACGAGGGACTGGTCCTGGCTGCGAGTGGCCATGACGGTTAGCGTAGCGACGCGCATGCCGGGTATCGTCTCGATAGACGACATGGTATCTGTGGGGTGGCAATGGGCATCGTAGATTCCATGATCCCAGGGGAAAGGATCCGACGTAGTCGAGGCAGAAGTGACGGCAGTGGAGGAGGGGTTATGATGCCCATCCTCATGTTGAAGACACATGCTGGGCAGCCTTGGTGGTCGATGCGCCTAAGACGTGTGGTATCAGAGACTGAGCCGGGTTACGGTAGGCGGGGAAGGCGGGAAGCGGGAGGCGGGGATCGCCGAAGGTCAAACGTCGAGGTGAAGGACCAGTAGGATAGCAGAGGCCCCTGGGCGACGGGAAGAAGACTGCGGTAAATCGTCGGTAAAGCTGGGTGTACCTCGCCGTAGAGCTGAGCTGAGGATGGAGCTATCCGTCAAAGGATTCCCGGTGCCAGTCGGTTGCCGAGAGCGGGATGGCTGGAAGCTGTAGGGCGACGGTGGGAAGCAGGGACCGGACGACGCTGGGACGGTCTAAGTCGAGCGGTTTGTATTTGCGAATACGACGGCGCTCTGGATGTGCGTGCGAGGGCTGCGGTTTGCGAACGACGTCAAGGTCGTCAATGTGGACAATGGCGAGACGGCGATGATGAAAGAGACGAATGGTGGTTGTTTGATGGTCGTTGACGGATAGGCGGGATGACAAGGAGGCTGCCACATGCAACGCAAGTGAGGTGGTTACCTTCCGTGGGGCATCTCGATGTCGACTTTTGCGCACTTGCTCAGGGCGCGGTGATAATGGTGGTGATGACCTTAGGAATGGATGATGCCGTGGTCGTAGTAGTGGATGCAGTACCGGCAGTGGCAGGCTGGCAGCCGGAGTGCGGGCAGCTGCGAGAATGATTGAAACGGGCAATTAGTGGGGGTGCTGCGGAATGATGTCAAGGGGACGTGGTCTGGAAGGATCCAAGCACCTCTTCCGATCTCCCCACTCACCTACCTCCTGCCTCCTGCCTATCACCTCGCAGCGCTGGTAGGCAGGAAGGGACGGACGGGCATACGGGGAACGGGAAAGAGAGACACTCGAGACCCTTACTGCGTCGAGCTCCATGAGGTAGGTAGGCACGCAATGTAAGACAACCTAAGACACCAACACCTCAGGGCCGGCACCCAGCCCAGCCCAGCTTCCCAGCTTCCCTCTGCCCCGTCCGGACTTTGGGAAGGCGCCAGTGCTACCGGTGCCATGTTGTCGCTGCGTGTCTCTGCTCCTCCTCGTCTGCTTCGTCTGCCTCGCCTACCTTGCCTGAGGTACCTTACCACCACATTGCCCTTCCACCACCACCTAGGCTTGATGTACCTCGGATCTCATCATCTCACCACGCAGCACCAAGACATGCTCTCTGGTCCATTGTCCTTCTGAGCCCATCTCGAAAGCCAGCAACACCACAGCAACCGCTCGCAGACTTCCTGACGGTTTCGCTTAGTGCATAGCTTCGTTGCAGATTTTCTGCCCTTTATGCACAACACGGACACATGGGCAAACACCTTGACGCCCGTCGACGACTGCGTTCTCACCGGAGAGCTCCAAGCTTGCGAATCACGGCTGCGGAATGTAAAGATGACCAAGCCAGGCGGGGCCCTCTAATGCAATCCGACGGCTCAACTCGACATCGCCAAAGGCCCAGTGTCTCATCTCGCCTTGTCAATCTATCAAAGCTAGGGCTGCGTCTAGGGGAGTCACCCCCCGGTTGCATCGCCGTGCTTCGACCTCTACTTGGTCTGCGCTCGCCGTTCGTCGATAGCTCAATGTTCCAAGCTTGCCTGCAAAATGCAGTCGCTTCTGACGATCGCCTTGTCTGCGCTACCTGTGGCGTCTGCCTTCGCAATCCGGGCGTTGACTGCCATCTTGAAGAGGCATGGACCATGATGTTCCCACATTGACAGCCCCCAGACAACCGCCAGTGGGCAATTCCCCGGATTATCGACATGACACCCACAGCGCTCAGCTACCAAGACACCCCGATATGCACCCCAGGAATTTGGATCGCCCCGAGGCCTCGACTGGATTCTGGACATCCCTTACGATGTCAGAGTCGCGGGGAAACCAAGACGATCTCGCCTGCCCGTCAGGGGCCGTCCTGGGGCGGCAGACGGCAGATATCACCGTCGTTTGCCTTCAGAACGTCGGCAGCTTGAACGTTTCGCACCTGTGAAGGATCTTCGCTGCTTCTGACTGCTGTTGTGAACATCGGCCCAATCTTGTCCATTCCTCAGCCACCCACCACTGCGAGAACATGCACAGCGTCAACCCTGGTCCATTGAGAGCCGTCCTGACCACTGAGAGCACTCGCACATCACGCACATAACGTTACCTCCACGCAATGAAGACGCCGAGTGGTGATGCGCCGCCGCTCCATCCATGCTCCTCGCTCGCCGGCGAGAGCATCTAACTGGAGAACCACAGAACTTGTGTCTTTCGTCCAGGTCTGGATCTGCGGGGTGTTCTATTCGGGGGTTTACGCCCTTGCTCCTCTCCCCGGACGCTCCATACGACGCTGACCCTGGCCCTGGCACATCTGGAGTCTGGAGTCTGGAGATGCGGAGAAGTTGGGCGATCGCCTTCGGGGATTCGACCTCACCTCACCGAGAGCACCCACCCGTCGTCGTCTCTTATCTCTGTCGGCCAACTGTCGCGATTGCATTCATCGTCACTCCATACCAAAACGGCAGCTCGATTGCAATTCTGATAGCGGCATGCCGGCACAAGCTTGCTCGCACACGCACGCATACACTGCACCACACCCAACGTCCCCCATCCTAAGTCCGGTCGCAGAGCTCTGGTCTTTCGTCACTCTCCCACCAACGCCAGGGCGGCGGTCGCATTACATGAGCATTGGCTGGCAGAAAAGACCTCAGGCTCAGGATTCTCCAGTCCGAAGGCGCATAAGTCAAGTCGCTGATTCACCCGGCAAACTCTGTTTCCCGCTTGCCCCCACAGCCGTTTCTGTCAGTCAGAAACACGTCTGTCTTCACATGGGAGCCAGCGTCCAGGAACTGCAAACTCTGTTTCCCCGGCCCCCGTCCCAGGGACAAGACTCTGATTTGAGCAGCAATATTGGACGGCCTGAAGTTTGCACAGAGTGACGACCCTTCGAATACGAAAGAGAGCACACAGGCCCTGAAAACACAAAAAAGGAGAATCGCAAATTCTTTTTCCACCCACTGGCCCTTCCGAAGCCCCCGTATGTGGCCACCATGAACTTTCTGAACCCCCCCAGCTTGGGCGCGAGAAAACGCACAGTAAACGCCGCTGCGCTGGGGGAGCCAGCCATTCACAACAAAGCAGAGAGCCATTCCATCATCAGTCCAACCACTGGCAACTAACTGGTGTAGTCCCAACTCGGGACCCTGTAGCTTCTGATAGCGCAAGCTCGGCTTCTCCATTTTTTCCCTCCGTGGCTACTAAAATAGCGTTACACTGCATCGAACCCTCCGACGAGACAGACCAGGACAAGGGAATGGAGGACAAGGGCGGTGCTAGGCTTTGCCGCTAGCTCCCGGCATGTGAAAGAGACAAACAAAGTGCCCGCGACGACTAGACTGCCACCCCTACCTTACCCTCCGGTGTGGTTCAGTTCAGACCCCCCTTCCATGCTGCAGCCGCTCCTGCTCATGTACTGTTGGTGTTGCTGCTGCGTGCTGCAGTTACTCGCTAGGAAGCCACCGACCAACCTCAAGGTTTGTAGGTTCGCTCCCGGCTCCTCTCCGTCTCATCCCATACTCTTACAGCATACCTCCCCCCGTCCACCACCATGCCGTCCGGGTTTTGACTTTGTGTGCCCCCATTCCTCCCAGCTGCGAGCCATTCCATCGTACAAAGTCGCCAGCTGTCCATCCAGTTACCACCTTCCCTTTCCTCGGACGTTTCTGTTTCTCTATCTTGAGAGATATTGGGAAAATCGACTGTGGGTGTTGGGGTATTACAACGGAATCGAACGATCGGACCACCGACCGAACGACTGCGAAGGGATCATACGATTCAGGTACTGGGAGATACTGGTCACAGCCGGTTTCCACAACTGGCTACGCCGAACAGATAAACCAGGGCACACTCCGACCAGTACACCGGGAGATTCGAGGCGATGTGGTGAATGAGGTCCGCACCGAGCCATCACCTTACACGCGCCTCTCCCCCCGTCCGCTCTACGACCGCAATCATGGCTCTCATCAACCCCATGTACGCCATCATCGTCCCCTTCCTCTTCTTGTTCACCGTCCCGCTCGCCATCTTCGCCGGAATTACGACGACACTCGCCTTCACCGTGCTTATCTTCCGAGTCATTCTCGTCTATTTCGATCTTGCGCTATCTCTACTACCATCGTACATCACTGGACGCCCTCGGTACCTGTCCTACGCGTCGAAGACCCCGTCACCCGCCAGTTCTTCTCCCTCATTAACGCCAACCCGACGCTCGGCTTCACGTCGTACCCGCCGGCCGTCCTCGGCATCGGCGCACTCCGTCGGTACGATAACGCCCATCTCGGAGTCCGGCGGGATCGGTCTCTTCCCCTCCGTTGGTATTGACCGGGACTACGAGGGTCTCGGTGGATGGCGTCTAGGAAACGGCAACGACGATGAATTGTGGACGACAATCAACTCGCGTCTTGAGCTTCCTGACCGTCAGTATCAAAGGCACCACCACCGCAGTCCCAGCGGCGGACCCACAACGCCCGGCGGTGGCGACGGCTATCTCATGATGAAGGGAGGCCGCAACAGGAGTCCGGAGAGCAATCGGGGAGGCTATGCCATGACCTCCCCAAACAGCTCTCGGGCAAGGACACCAACAAACGCATCCCACATTGCGTTTACAGCGCTTGATGGTGCCGACGGGGATTATTTCCCAAGCTTATCAGCAAAGGCTGTGAGGAAAGTGGCGGTGGCATAAAATGGGAGAACCACGTTAACTACAACCACTAATGAGTGATAACAAAAGACCAAGAATGGTTTATACAACGAGTTCACCTTCGAAAATAACGATGATGACAAAGAGAGACCCTAAAAGCGGGTGATGTAAGAGTTAACTGTACCTTTCATATGTCAGGATGGGATGTCGCGCCTTGGATGGCTGCAGACGGGGTGACAGGTGGACGGAAAGGTAGAAATGGATCAACTTATGACGGGGAAGGGCTAAAGAAATCAAAGGCATGGTCGGCGAGGCGTGGCCAGCTACGGACAGGAATTTGGGTTGGTTCTTGGGAGTCATCAGGCGTCTGGCAGTATCACATCACACATCTCATTCGTCCAAACGGACAATCAAACAAGTTCAATTGCTACTGTGCATCCTGGTATTTGTATCAAGTGTACATATTTGCGATAAAAAGGTAATTCCTGACCTGGTATCCTATCATAATTCCGCCCAAACGCCGTCATAGCAATACTTGAACCGCACCCGCTGTCTGCCCCAGCCATCAATCACAACGTCTGCCAAAAGTAGTTGGCATAAAAGAACTTTGAAAACTTTGGGTCCAGGTTAACGACGTGCACATCCCCCTTGCGGTCGTTCCTCACGACGGCGCGGCTGAACTCGCCGTCCTTTGTGTCGCGCTCGATCTCGATGCCGAGGGAGCGGTAGACCTTGAGGCGCAGGAGAACCTCGTCGTCGACGGGGTCGCGGCGGCGCTGCTGGTCGTCGGCGGAGCCGTCGAGCCCTTGGATCTCGAGCTCCTGCAGGCGGGCGTTGAGGTCGGCGGCCTGCTGGGCGAGGCGCTCGGCCTCCATCTCGGCGTCGGAGGCGGCCTTCGCGGTGCGGAACTTTGTGGTGTCGAGGCGGGCGATCTCGGAGGCGTGGGCGGTGGAGGAGTGCGCTTGCGTGAGCTCGGCGTGTTGGGAGGACATTGTGTTTAGTTGGCGGGAGAGTTCTGTTTGGGTTTGGTCAGCGTCTTGAGATTGGGAGGAATGTGTGAGAGGCACGGGGTTGATGCCCGGTCTCTCCCATAGGAAAGCCGGTGGGGGCGGGAGTGGGAGTTGGCGTTGGTGGTGATGGGTGGTCTTGGGAGTCTCCCATAGAAAAGCCATTGAGGGCTGGAGTAGTAGTCGGGTCACTTTTGACCGGCGAATGGCAATGCACTGTGACGAGAGGAACGTACTCTTGAGGGCATTTTCGGCATCGCGGAGACGCATCTCGCGAGCCTGCTGGAGCGTGGAGTAGGAGTCATTGATGCGCGCGATGGCTTGTTTATCGGGTTGGATGTTGAAGTTTGCGATTGTGTGGTGGATGAGCTGCGTGCGCGCCAAATCAGTCAGTACATTGAAGATGTCAATGGTGCGATGGTGTGGGCGCCTACCGTCGCGGGCTCCTCTGCCAAAAGCATCTTGACGGTATTCCTTCGTGGTTGGTGACTTGCGCGGTAGAGGTATCGCCAGGTTTGGTTGAAGTCGCGGGTTGTCGCGTCGTCGGTGGTTAAGTGATGAAAGGATGTGATTTGCGTGGGTGTCTGTCACTCGGCCCAAAGCGGAAACCGCCTAAACAAAAAAAAGAAGACGGGAGCCCGCTTATCGGGTCGACATCACCGGGACGACAATCGGCTGACTAAGGTTGGGTACGTGGACTGCTGGCCTGTGATTGATTCCTACCTACAGTGGGCGATGGTCTCCCCCTCAGTGAGCATGCCGTGGTCAGTGCTGGAGCGAGCCAGCACCCCCCAGCGAAACCCCTCCCTCCTTCGGTTCCCGTCCATCCCATTCGCCCGCCGTCGGCCGTCGTCATCAGCTGCTGCTGTTTGCTGTCCAGCGTGCCAGCGCCATCGCCTGCCCGCCACACATGATCCCCTCCGCGGTCCACACGCAATCTTCAGATGTCAGAGCTTCAGCCACTTCCGCCTCATTCCGAAGCAGGTTTGCCATCATCCATTTCCCATTCGCAAGCCACCCCAACCAACCCGCCCTCCGATCGTAAAGGCCCAAATCTGCAAAACCGCCTTGTGCAACCCCTCGAACGGCTTCTTGAACCCGCCTTAGACGATAACTGCACAAACGCGCCCGCGCCGTGCTTGAAGTTTTTCCCGACGATCCCCTCCGAAAAGTCCATAGCTCCCCTCCCGTGAGAGAGCTTCCGACATCACGCAAAAATGGTCGATCTACCCTGTAAGTAGAGGACCCCTCCTCCCTCCACATCATGATGGTCCGCGCAGTAGTGACTGACGACGACAGACGCCCTCGACGCGGAAACGTACGTTGCCCTTCGCGCCCCTCACTTGTCCCCCGCGACGCATCGCGCAGGCATAACGTAAAATACTCACCGCACCGCAGGCCCCTCAAGGCATCCGAGCTCCAGGTCCTCCGCGCCCAATATGAAAAGGAAGGCGAGATGGTCGGCGTGCAAACCAAGTTCAACTACGCATGGGTATGGCACCTCTCCTTCTCCCCCTCTCCCTCGTCCTTGTCCCTCGTGCTTCTCCCATATCCCCCGCCGCCCAGGCAAACCACAGCTAAGAAACCCCTCCCCCACGCACAGGGCCTCGTAAAATCAGACAACCGCAACGACCAACAACTAGGCGTCCGCCTCCTCTCCGAGATCTTCCGCGTCTCCCCCGAGCGCCGCCGCGAGTGCCTCTACTACCTCGCCCTCGGCAACTTCAAGCTCGGCAACTACGGCGAGGCCCGCCGCTACAACGACCTCCTCCTCGAGAAGGAGCCCGCGAACCTGCAGGCCTCGAACCTGCGCCAGCTCGTCGACGACAAGGTCGCCAAGGAGGGCCTCATGGGCGTCGCCATCATCAGCGGCGTCGCTGTCGCGGCCGGTGTCGTGGGCGCCTTTTTGGTGAGGAACGTCAAGAGGAGATGAGGGATGCGGACGGACGGTTGATGAGTGAGACGACGAACGGCCTTCTGTTTTGCAACTGCAGAAGAGAGACACGACAGCATGGGATTGATGGATGGATGGGGCGGGCAGACGACGGTGTTGCTTTGAGAGGACAAAATTCCCCCCTTTTATGTGGCTTTTCTTCTTGGTAATGTGTACTTGTATGGACATGACGACGGCTTTTCCGGTGTACAGGCGTATACACAAAGACTTCTTTTCTCACCTTCATAGCATTCTGTTGCGGCATGAATTCGAAACGTTGTCTATGTCTTGTTGGTTTACTACGGCATGACGATGAGGCTTTTCGATGTATTGGGACTAACACTGGGTGAATGGAAGAGGCCTTACGCGGACTTGAGAATAGTCACGGTACTGTTGGAATAACGTCAGTAAATACTAGGGCCGGGCTTTTGTAAGTCGTACATCTGAGTGGAGGCACCAACTGAGAAATCTATAAAACAAGAGGTTGTGGAATCATCAATCAAAGTCAACCGCACAATGGGGCGCACTTTGCCATTCGGTACATTTTCAAACCATTTTGAGCCGGTAAGGCAGCGGATGGTAACTCTCGGTTTACCCCTTGGGACAGACACATGAGGAGCGCACTAATCTCATCATCCCTGCTTTTCTCCGTCGGCCCTCTAGTATTTGTCGAGGTAATTCGGTGAGCCGACACGTCAAGCAGAAGGATGGTGCCTTCAAATACCATCGGGGGACAGACACGCGACATATGTATCGCCCAACTTGTGTGCGCGTTCAAACTACTGTTGGTGGTTGTGGACATTGTGGTGTTCCCCTCAGTTCGGTAGGCATCGTCTCCTTTTATATCGGAATCTGGCTCGCGCGATGGGGCAGACAGCGAGTCAAGGTGCAGAACAGCTAATTTGTAGCCGCAAAATTGTATCACAAGAAAAGGAAAAGGGAAAAACCATATCAACATGGCAAAACGACGACCCAGCGCTTCAGACCCAAGTGCAGGCAGCAAAGTTGAATCATTGAAAGCCCACGTGTGACGCTGGGAGGGTCGGATAGCCTCAGAAGGTAGACGAACAACCGTTTGACCACCGACGTCGACGGTGGAATCCGGGCTGCTTTGTCATTCATCAGGTATGGTACGGGTGAATACGCACGTGAGGATACAGGAGAATAGTATTGAGGTCGAGAGCAGGCTTCACCGCCTCTGCCCGATCAGTTGAAACTAAGACTACGTGTGCCGATGCTGTAAGTCTTTGCTTGAGGGTTAAATATAGCAAACACCCTGAATAGTTACCGAATCGTAGCTATGAGATTTCAAGGAGTCCGTACATGCTGATCTGACTATTGGATGTTGTTAATACACCATTAGCTCGATTGTAGTAAAACCCCCCATCGTTGAACGGCGCCCCGGAGCAGATTCCAAGAATCATTGTCGCGATCCATTGCTTGAACAGTGGCGACCCATTGCAGACTGTGCACAAATTGCCATACTGTTTCGCGGCTGCTGTCTACCGATCCTTGGTCCTCGTATGCCCAGAGCCATCTTTCATAGAACGTCGTAGGCATACCAAAGTACCTGCAGCCGCCTTCATGGAAAACCATTCGCTCTTCGTCCGGCATGGCTTCGATCTTCAATATGGCTTCTAGTTGATCAGCGGTGGGTGCTAGATGCTCTCTTCGCAGACGACGATCAACGAGCCACAACGTCTTGAGGTTGCCACGGGCAGGAACGTTCCTACTAGTTTGTACCAGCATGTCGTACTCCTTCCAGCGCTCGACGCTCAGTTCGGGCTGGCCTCCCTCCCACTCTTGTTGATACTGCTCAAGTTCAGCGATGCTCCACGACGGGTCAAATTCCAGGGCGATGTGGCACATGCCCCCGAAACCAAGTCTCCAGGAGGCGAAGGGAAGTTGTTTGCTCAGATCCCAGATTCTCTGCCGAAGCGACGTCAAGTGTATAAAGATAAGGTCCGTAGCGGGAAGAACGGTGAAGAATTGGCTCTTCTCCCCGTGGTTCATTTCGAATGTAGCGGGCATGTCGTGATATGTGCTACTGAGGTGAACGACGCTGCGATCGGGTTCGCGGTCTGGGCTGTACTTTTTCTTTTGAAACTCGTAAAAGTCAGTCCACTCATCAGGCCTGTACCGACGAAACATCGCCGCTCTTGACTCCCTGCAAGCTGTCCAAAGCCCGCTGTCGATGGTGTATGTTGAGTTATTATTGTAGGAGCTTCCTGTCGTGCTATCTATCGTCGATGGAGCCACCACGACTTCAATCTGGTTTATCTCTATCATCGGTGCGATGTGGCCTTCGAAATTTGTAGGAACACTGTTGCGATGAAAGATAGAGAAGTGCTGAACTCCACGAATGCCGTGAGGACGGGTTGCGAAGTCCCATATCATAGCCCGGAGCTCTGGACAGAGATCACTAAACGGAGTAAATGTCTGCGTAGCCATGGTTCATAATTTGAGATTGTATCTTCCGAAACAATGCGATTATGTTGAGAAATAGAGAAAGTAATGGAGAGGATGCAAATGAGAGCGAACGGTGGAAATTTGCAGCTTTTTGATGCTGAGGTTAAACGACGGTCGAGCTTATTCAGAGGTGGGTGTGCTGGACCTGAAAAGCTTAAAAAGTTAAGAAAATACTCAGGTTGCGGATGGAACAAGGCTTTGGATGGGAATATCAAGGTGCTCGTAGAGGTTGTGAGGGTGAAAAGGTTGATTGTTTAGATTGTGGATCTGCGAGATTGGTATCAACTCAAGTAATCCCCATCAGAATGATGAGGTTTCAAAGAGGCTTTGCATATAATAGAATCAATGCATCTAATGGTTACTATTAACTTATTCATCAAAAATGCTCTCTTGTTCAATGTAGGAGTATTGTATCAAACGATGCATTTCGTATTCTTAGGGCGGGTGGACCTAAGCGAAGTCAACAACAGACGGTCTCAAGATTTGCGTATGGAAACGTTTCACAGGATGTGATCGTTGCGCTGGAAATTGGACGTGCGATGATACTTAGATCTTGCAAGACATTTAAGCAGAGAATGATGGGAACTTTAGGGCAAGCCCAATCGATGGGATGCTCGCGGTATTCGTTGAAAAGGCAGCCTGATTGAAAAACCCTCCCAACGCGAGAATCAACATGCAGTAGTGGAAGATGAAGTTGAATAAGATTCTACACCAGTGTCGTGTGCCTTCCGCCGTCGTTTATTGCCGCACTTCTCGCAGAAGTATTCGCTGTGAAAACAATATTCGCTTTTCGCTCTCACCACTCCTCATAAGGCTGATAAAACTCCAACTCCAAGTGGGTAATAGACTTGTAATCTGCAATGATATGGTAATTCCTGTTTCAAAATCCTAAACCCTTTTTTTGGTCATCTGATGTTCCAACATTACTACATTCTGAATTGTCGCCGAAGAGATGAAGCTCTTTATGTCCCTAACCCAACCTACTAAAAAACCACCACTTCAGTCAAGATCCAAAACTCAAAGCCGCCAAATAGATGGAGCGCGAAGCTCCATCTTACCAAAGCTGCGAGATGGTTCAGTTTGTGCCAGTTATTCACCTTGGGACTGAATGGGACAAACATAACGCAAGCAATCAAGAGCTTTTCGCTAGTCTGTATGGTTCGTCACATCTGGTCTCCATTTATTCATTCCGATACTACAGAAACGAAAGACGTCCCTTTAGTGTGTAGAGGTCCTCTGGCACTCACTCAACGCATCCAATGGAACCGGACGTCGCCCGATGTGTAGCAGCGCACTTCTCGTCTACAGACATGCTCAAGGCTCCTTGACTATTAACTCTAGTAATCAAATCAACATAAAAGGACCAGCATCCAGATTACTGCCCATAAGCGTAAGACCAATATGATGTTCTTCGGCCATCAAGCAGTTCTGGAGAAAGAAGAGAATTCTGTCTGCTTGTCGGCACGCCTCCTAAACCTAGTTGAAACTCACCTAAACGATCACCTGATTGTAATGTTGCTGTCTCTGCCCGGGTCTATTGCCTAAGTATGAAGCCACAACTCTAACGCTGCGACTGAACCCAGCGTCAGAAAACGGCATCATGCTACAACCGTGACCAAACACATCGGTCAGCATCTGAAAGTCCGCTGCGCCCAAACATGGCAATCAAAGCGGCGGCAATTGTGAGAATCATGTGAACTTGTCTTGGGCTCTGTCTTTTATATCTCTCTCAGACTCCCTTGCGAAGTCTTCGTTGAAATCGAATGAAAGCCAGTTCGAATCATTTAAAGACTTGAAATTTACCTCGAAATATGGGTCAACCAATCGACCTAAATCGACTCGACAGTACGGGAACTTGGGCGATGTTTCGGGCACCAGGCAACAAGGACTTAAATGTGTCTATCTCACTGCCCCGTTAAGTTCTTATCACATTTGTCTCCGTCCGCCATGTCTGTCAATGAGATCGGCGGTGAATAACCAAGATAAAGGATTCTTAAGGGAAGCGCTTTGCTCGTAATAGTCACCTACAGATAGCTGGTATGATCGTATAATCTGTCGAGCTTGAGGAGCCCTGAATTTCAGATCAAGATCAAGACGTGCAATCGATTGTCTGGTTTTCTTCTTGCTATCTCATTTCTCCTCTTTTATCTGCACCAGAACAATGAGAACAAGTCGTGCCGTATCCTCGAAAAGTCTTCGACCCAGGGCAGTCAAACATAAATACTTGCATCCTGGGCTTGATAATAAAGATGGCAGCCAAATGAAAAAGATGTTCCAAGGTCCGTTGAGAAAGACTGGTGTATGAAGACAACGCCATGTTGGACCGACACATTGCCCCTTACGGCTCTGCCGATGGTCTTCATTTGACTAAGGTCTGCAGGTAACGCTTCTTCCTCGAACTTATTCAGGAAGGACGATATGCCAACAGTGAAATGTTAGAACGAGATATTGAACGCTTACTTGAGCCGCGGACGCGGTGATCTACGCCTCTACCACCAGTCAAGACCACACAACATCAAAAAGCAGCGGGCACAGAGGCAATGGGTCGCTCCGAAAAAGTCACTTATCACCGTCTCTGCTAGAAATCCGGAGATACCAAGAGCCCATTTATATGGGCAACAAGACGCGACATGAGATTGGCAAAGTTCCGCTCACGGCGTTCAAGCACGACCTCCTCCTATTCGGTATCTGAGTGATGACTGGCCCAATTCACTCAATGCAGCAGGTATGAATGCCGATATTGTCTTCATAGAGTGAGCATGGAGTCATTGAAGACAAAAAAGAATGACGAGGTTGACTGATTTTCGTGTTGGATCATGGAAATCTGTCTTGAGTTCCCTAGTGTCCTCAGTCAGAAAGCACTCGCCGGGCATCACAATCAACCCAGATCTACATTATCTATTGTTCAGCATCGCCGGCTTCGTATTGTAATCAAGAATACGCAATGCCGTAGGCAGTTCCCAGCATCTTGCTCCGATCATAGTACACTGTCTCCACAGGAGAGTAGGCTGTGAGTAGCAATACCATGACTGAGCTCGACTGCTTCCAATAAGAATATTCCCGGAAGCTAACGCATTGGTTCCTGATTCGTAAGAGAAGAGTTCAACCCCTTTTGATCTCGCACATTGGTACAGTGGCTCCCCTTTCTGCTGATTCCGGATCAGACAATAATGCAGCAGGCCTGTGTAGCTCTAGGCCTTGCTTGAAGCGATACATATATACTATGGCAGGAGATCCGGAACATGCGGAAGAAACTACCCAGGGAATGAGTATAAATAAGACGGCCAAACGCACAATTTTCGGGAGTTGGCAATGAGGCCCTTCGATGTCGATATTTGATCAAAGGCCATCATGACCAGTTGAGACACGCCGGATACAACCTCAGAACGTTTACTCACCGTGTGAGTGAACATCAACGCTGGAGCGTGGAAAATGACTCCATAATACCAACGCAATCTTTAGTCATCCTCACCGTTGGGGTATCGTCAGATAATACATCAAGAAAGAAGACCACGGTGGGTCCTCAATACAGCTCTCATGGCCCATGACTTGAACCATGAACGGGACATCGGGCCCGAGAGAAGCTCGCGCGAACGTTATGAGTTTCTAACTAGAAACAGGCAACGGTACATAGATACATCATTGTGCCTGAAGATGCTTGATCCTGCCAGAAAACCGTACTTTTATACATGAGAGCAGGATTTCTCCCAGACGCGGGACGAGGATTGTCTCTGAGTGTCATGATACCTGGACACAACGCCTTGTACTAGACGCCTCCACTGTACAGCAATAACACACTCTTCTCATCATCTGGCCTCCTCCCAAACGAAGAAAGCACCAAGACATGTGAGCCGCGACACAACGGACCGGCCACATTCACGTGTTTATACAGTCAGTGTGAACATCGACTGATCATTGATCAATATAAATAAAGCCTCAGCGCTTCTTACTGAATGAGTTCCGGGCCAACAATGCCGCATGGATCCGTACCGTACGGGATTGCAGAAATCTGGTACTCCACCGAGACCTTGAATCCTCTGCAAGAGCCAACTGTTGACATTTCCACCGGAACCCCCCTTTTCACCGCCTCGAAGCCATCCATGCCCCCTTGTCTGTCCACAACATATCCAGGCCAGAATACATACACGACAACAGCGCCGACGAGAATCACCTCCCCACCATTCCTCATCAATTTACCTCTGCGTACTCACTGCCGAGATGAGTTGTAGCTTTGCCCGATACAACCGCACAAGGCCTTTGTGGCAGTCGGCCGATTTGCCAAGACTTCACGAAGAATCGCATTGGCGTGGAACAGCAGAAAGCCAGCTAGCCGGCCCCCCATTTTATACGAACCCATACCTTGATTCTTATTCCGAAGAGGGCCTCTGGAGATGGACAGACCAGCAAGCGCGCTAAATTCAGAAAGTGGTCATGCGGTAGTGGGATAGATTTCCCGTTTTGAGCAACCGGCTGGCGGTGTTGCAATATTCCCGTGTGGATTACCTGTGACCTAATCTGGTGTTGTGACGCTTTCTGACAACACCTCATGGAACATGTAAAGCAGACTGACAGCCTTGCTGCCAGGCGCTTTTGATGAGTAAATGAACCTCGAAGCTGGGACGCTGTGCATGTCATCCAAACTCATTCCCACCGATGAGGGTGACTACGGAGCACCATGAACATCACATGCGAAAAGAGACAGCCCGTGATCATTCCAAACGCCCTTGCTTTGTGATGGGCTATGATCTACCAATACACGTCCAGGGCGACAATCAAGCGACGCCCCGGAATATGACCCTCGTAAGGAGAAAATGGGGAAAACGACCCATGCTAAACGCCGGCAATCCATTTCGTCATTCATAACCTGCCGCCGGCCAGTCGATCCTGGCATGGTTTTATCCATGCCCATTATCGCTTTTCACTCATCCACCCCCCTGTGGCAACAAACATGCTTCCATTCACTGGGCCCTGCGCCTGTCTCT